CTGACATATCCCGCTGCTGCTGCAGCTACATTTGCTGTTTCTGCTGCTGCTGCTCCGGTTTTTGCTGCCGCTGTTGCTGCTGCTGGTTGAGCTTACACATCTGCAGCAGCAGCAGATGTAGCTGGTGGAGCGTCTGCTGCTGCTGTTGCTGCTGCTGCTGCTCCAGTTGCTGCTCTCCTTTTTGTCGTCGCTGGTTCTGCTGCTGCTGCAGCTACATGAGCTGCTGGTTTTGTTTCTACTGCAGCAACATCATCTGCTGTTTGCGTCTGCTGCTTCTGCTGCTGCTGCTTCTGGTGCTGCTGCTGCTGCTGCTGCTGCTGCAGTTGCTTGTGGCTTTATTTGCTGATCTCGTGTCGGTGAACAGCAGCAGTGTGGGGCGAGAAGAAAGAAGCGCAGCAGAAAGATATAACATTGCAATTCAAAGCAAAGGTCTGCTGCAGCCGCTCGACAGCTTCTTCGCTCTCCTAACAGACAAGGTATCAACACCTGCAGCAGCAGCAGCAGCAGCAGCAGCAAATCTAGACAGCAGCAGCAGCAGCAGCAGCAAATGTAGACGGCAGCAGCAGCAGCAGCAGCAGCAGCTGTTTGTGCTGCTGGGTGTGTGCAGGAAGCGAGGCGATTGGATGTTCTTAAAGAAATACACGGCCCAGCATCAGCGCGTACGCCCTATACATCGCTAGCTAGCTAGCCAGCTAGCTAGCTAGGTGGCTAGCTAGCTGGGCATATAGCTAGATAGATATGTCGCTAGCCAAGCGAGGTAGCTAGCTAGCTAGCTAGCTGGATAGTTAAATAGCTAGATAGATATATACAGCTCGCCAACTAGCTAGCTAGCTAGCTAGCTGGATCGCTTGCTGGCTAGCTAACCGGGTACCTAGGAGCTTGCTGGTCGTTGTACGATGCCTTTACTGTTTAGGGTTTAGGGTTTAGGGTTTAGGGTTTAGGGTTTGTGTGCAGCAGCAGGAGGGGGTGAAGCAGCAAGCGGGGCGCTGCGCTGCAGCTTATTAAAAGTGCTGCTGCAGCCTGCAGCATCAGCAGCAAAAACAGCCACACCCGTCTCCAAGGCCCTCCCGCGAACCCTCACCATCGGGTACCTAAACCCTAAACCCTAAACCCTAAACCCTACGCCAGCCCTAAACCCTAAACCCTAAACCCTCAGCCAACCCTAAACCCTAAACCCTACGCTAGCCCTAAACCCTCAGCCAACCCTAAACCCTAAACTTTACGCCAGCCCTAAACCCTAAACCCTAAACCCTCAGCCAACCCTAAACCCTAAACCCTACGCCAGCCCTAAACACTAAGCCCTACGCCTACCGTAAACCCTAAACCCGGGGCCAATTCTAAACCCTAAACCCTAATAATAAACCCTAAACCCTGAACTCTAAAGTGCAGGGCGTACGCAAAAGAGGCTGTAGTTTAAGATGAAGAGAGCGAGGAGCAAACAAAGACAAAAAAAGAATTAAACAAACATCAAACAAACAAATAAATAAATAAATAAATAAATAAATAAATAAATAAACAGTCGAATAAATAAATAAATAAACAAAAAACAAACAAAAAGAGAGAGAGAAATACAGAGAGCAGCACAAAAGATAAACAGAGTTTTAATCTCTGCTGCTGCTGCTGCTGCAGGGACCTCAAAGTTGTTTGCATGCGCATCTTCGGTTTGCCTACACACACAATTAAAATTGTCTGCTGCAACAAGGTGGGCTGCTGCTGCTGCTGCTGTTCTTGCTGCTTCTGTTGCTGCTGCTGCTGTTGATGCTGTATTTGCTTCTACAGGTGGCAGCTGCATATACACCTGATTGCGCAGGCTGTTGCTGCTGCTTCTATTGCTCCTACTGCTGCTCTTCTTACTCGTGCCGCTACTGCTACTGCTGCTGCTGCTGCTGCTGCTGCTGCTGCTGCTGCTGCTGCAGGACTCTCCGGTGTCTGAGGAGCTGCTGAATGACTCTCTAACTTTGGAGTTGTATGGGGTCAGAGACAACGCTGTTCTTCAAGTACATTCTACTCAATAAAAAATAAAAAATAATACGCCAAATGCAGCAGCAACAGCAGCAGCAGCAGCAGCAATAGCAGGCGCAGCAACAGCAGAGGCTGCAGCAGCAAAAGCAGAAGCAGCAGCAACAGCAGCAGCAGCAGCAGCAATAGCAGAGGCAGCGACAACAGAGGCTGCAGCAGCAAAAGCAGAAGCAGCAGCAGCAGCAGCAGCAGCAGCGGGAGGGAGGTGAGCAGTTTTGATGCTTTGTCTGTTGAGACAGAACGACATAAAGCATAGAAATAAAATTTGTTTTTTATTTTTAAACAAAGAAATAACAAAGACAGACAAAAAGCGAAGCAAACAAACAAAAATAAACAAAAAAAGACAGAGACAGACAGAGACTGAAAAAGAGAGACAGAGAGAGACAGAGAGACAGAGAGAGACAGAGACAGAAAGAGACAGAGAGAGGCAGAGACAGAGAGAGAGACAGAGAGAGACAGAGACAGAGACAGACAGAGAGAGAGACAGACAAAGACAGAGACAGAGAGAAGGAGACAGAAGTAGAAAGATATAAAGACAAAGAGAGAAGCAACGAGAGACAGAGAGACAGAGACAGAGACAGAAAGACAGAAGGGGACAGAGAGACAGAGACAGGGACAGAAAGAGAGAAGGAGACAGAAGTAGAAAGAGATGAAGACAAAGAGAGAAGCAAAGAGAGACAGAGAGAGACAGAGACAGCAAAACAAAAAGAAGACAGAGAGCATGAGAAAAATAAAGAAGAGAGACACACAAATTAACTCAACTAAACGCAAACAGAAGAACAGAGACAGAGACAGAGACAGACATAATAATAAATAAAACCCCTGCTCAATAAAGTCTGAGGTGTATATACACCTCAGACTTCATTGAGGTGTACATACACCTCAGACTTTATTCAGGTGTATATACACCTCAATCAAGTTTGAGGTGTATATACACCTCAATCAAGTTTGAGGTGTATATACACCTCAGAAAGGGGAAGAAGTGCGGGTTTGTGTTGCATCGCCAGCAGCAGCAAAAAGATGTTGAGCTTTTTATATTTAAAAAAAAATAAATAAGTATATATATATATATATATATATATATATATTCGTGTCTCTGCTGCTCTTCTCTAAGTGAAAGGAGACAGTAAAGAGGTAAATAAATGAAAGGAGACAGTAAATATATAAATAAATAAAAGAAGACAAATAAATAAATAAATAAAACTAAGACACAAACAAATCGAACAAAGAGAGAGAGATGAATAAAATATATTTTCTTCTCCCTCTCATAACAACAACAACAGCAACAACAACAACAAAACAACAACAATAATAATAATAATAATATTAATATTGATATTAATATTGATATTAATATTAATATTAATATTAATAATATTAATAATAATAATACTAATAATAATAATAACAACAATAACAACAACCCCACCACAATAAACACCCCGCCCCAGCCCCGAGGTGTTGAGAGCAAAGAATTATAAAAAGCGCAGTTTAATTTGTTTTTAAGTCTTTTTATGTAGAAATAATTAATTATTATATTAAAAACAAACCAGAAGAAGTCTTTAAAGCAGCAGCAACGCAGCAGCACAACAACTCTCCTGCTGCGCTTCAGGTGTATATACACCTCAAATGCATAAACCTCATGTTCTCTATACACCTGAAAACCCTAAACCCTAATAAAGATATTCTCTACAGCAGCAGAGGGGGCCCCCAACCCCCAGAGGAATAGGGGGCCCCACACCTGCAGCAGATGCCGCTGCGAATGGGGAGGCGAAGGCCTCTTGCTGCAGCAGGCAGCAACAGCAGCAGCAGCAGCAGCAGCAGCAGTTGCTGCAGCAGCAACAGCAGCAGCAACAGCAGCATGGCCTCCCTCACGTCCTCGCTGTCTTCTTTGAAACAAATCTCCCCCCTTCCCCCTCCTGGAGCAGCAGCAGCAGCACCATCAGCAGCAGCACCAGCAGCAGCACCAGCAGCAACAGCAGCAAATTCTAAAGCTCCTGCCTCTGCTGCTGCTCGTACAGAAGCAGCTGTTGCTGCAGCAATAGCCGCTCTAAGCAACACGAAACTCCCCTCTTCTGGGGCTGCTGCAGAAGCAGCAGCAGCAACAGCAGCAGCAGCAGCAACAGCAGCAGCAGCAGCAACAGCAGCAGCAGCAGCAGATTCACCTCAAGAGCGGGAAGAGGAGGGCTCGGCCAGTCTGCGCGTTGCAGGTGCAGCAAGACCCTAACACCACACCCTAAACCCTAAACCCTAAACCCTAGCTGAAGAATTGATTTGCGTGTCTGTACAACTGCACATAGCAGCAGCAGCAGCATCAACAGCAGCAGGAACAGCAACAACAGCAGCAATAACAACAGCAACAACAACAGCGGCAGCGTTAGCACGAACCACAGCAACGGCTGGTGTAGCACCTGCAACAGCAGCCGCAGCAAAAGCAGCACCAACACAACAACAACAGCAGCAGCAGCAGCAACAGCAGCAGCAGCAGCAAATGTGTGTTTATCTTTGCAGTGAGGATCCGCCCCGTGTCTGAGCCGATCGACCCGCGCTGCCTCTCCGTGCGCATGCTCAACAACCAAACGCTTCAGGTGCTGCTGCTGCTGCTGCTGCTGCTTACGCTGTTTGTGCCGCTGCTGCTGCGTATGCTGCTTATGCTGCTTGTGCTGCTGCTGCTGCGTGTGGTGCTGTTGCTGATGATTTTGCTGTTTATGCACTTGCTGCATCTGCTGCTGATGCAGCTGCATGTGCTGCTGCTGCTGCATCTGCTGCTACTGCATTTGTTGCTGCTAGTTATCTTGTTGCATCTGCTGCTGCTGCTTGTGATGCTATTGCTGCTCTTATGGAAGCTCCCGGCATGGCATGCTGCTGCTGCAGCTGCTGCTGCTGCAGCAACAGCAGCAAAAGCTGCTGCCAAGTCTTGCTTCCGTCATCCGTCTCCTGTTTTGCCTCTGCTGCTGCTGCTGCTGTTGTTGTTGTTACTGCTGCTGCCGTTGCTTTGCTGCTGCTGCTGCTGCTGCAGTTGCAACGCCCTCCTGGTTTTTCTGCTGCTTCACGGGGGGCCCCCCAGCCGGGGGCCCCCGTCTATTTATCGAGTCAAAAGGGGTGGCATCAGGAGTTCATGTTTGATAGAGTCTTTGGCCCAGATGTAAACCCTAAACCCTAAACCCTAAACCCTAAACCCTAAACCCTAAGGGTTGCAGCAGGGGCGTGCGGTTTTGTAGGGAGCCTCCAAGCGCTCTTTGTTTATAGGCTTCTGCTGATGCTGCTGCTGTTGCTGCTACTGCTCCTGCTGCTACAGTAACTCCTGCTGCAGGTCCTGCTGCTGTTGTTGCTGCTGCTGCAGCTGCGCGTGTGCTGCTGCGTTTGTTTACTGCTGCAGGCAACCCAAGATGAGGTGTACAGACACTCGGCTAGGCAAATTATTCCGAGTGTCGTTGGCGGCATCAACGGTAAGAAGAAAAAGAAAGACGCCTAATCCTGCTGCTGCTGCTGCTGCTTATTGCTGCTGCTGCTGCTGCTGCTGCTGCTGCAGGTACTGTGTTTGCTTACGGAGCCACAGGGGCTGGGAAGACATACACCATGCAGGGGTCTCCTGAGCAGCCAGGCATCATTGCACGCGCTGTCTGCGACCTCTTCGCAACGCTGCAGCAGCAGCAGCAGAAGCAGCAGCAGCAACAGCAGCAGCAGCAGCAGCAGCAGCAGTGCCCACCCAACTGTTGCTGCTGGGGGTGCTGTTTGCTGCATGAGTACGTTGTCGCTGTCTCCTACTTAGAAGTATACAACGAGAAGATAAGGTACACACCACTTGCTGCTGCTGCTGTTGGTGCTGCTGCTGCTGCTGCTGCTGCGGTCAGGGCTGCAAGAGTTGTGGGGTAGGAAAATGAGGGTTTAGGGTTTAGGGCTAACGGCTTAGGGTTTAGGGTTTAGGGTTTTGTGCAGAGATTTGCTGGAGCCCAGCCGCACAAACCTCGAAGTTCAAGAAGATGCCAGCAAAGTAAGCTGCTGCTGTTGCTGCTGTTGCTGCTGTTGCATCCGCTTGTGCTGCTGCTGGTGTATACGTTGCTGCTGCAGTTGCAGGTGCTGCTGCTATTTGTGTTGCTGCTGCTGTTGGGCGCCTACAAACATTTTCCCTCTGCAGCTGGTCCCTACCTTATTGCGCTGCTTCTGCTGCTGTTGCTGCTGCTGCTGTTGCTGCTGTTGCTGCTGCTGCTGCTGCTGCAGATCCGCGTTCAAAATCTATCTGTACACCCCGTGGATAGCGCTGAAGAGGCGCTGCGGCTGCTGGAGACAGGCAATAGAAACCGCAATACTGCAGCAACAGCAGCAAACTTATCGAGCAGCAGGTCGCATGCAATCTTCCAGGTTCGCTGATGCTGCTGCTGCAGCTGTTGCTGCTGCTGTGGCTGCTGCTGCTACTGGAGTTGCTGCTGCTGCTGCTGCTGTCTCTGTTGCTGCTCCCTGGTGCTGCCACACACGCCGCTTTGCGTTGAGGCTGCTGGTGCAGCCCTGGTGGTGTAGCAGCAGCAGCAGCATGTGCATTGCTGTTGTTGCTGCTGTTGTTGCTGCTGTTGTTGCTGCTGCAGCTGGTGGTTAAGGCGTCTCTGCTACAGGCATCTCGCGGCTCCTTTGTGAAGAGAGAGACAAAGCTGTCTCTTATTGATTTGGCAGGTGCTGCTGCTGCTGCTGCTGTTGCTGCTGCTGCTGCTGCTGCTGTTCAGCTGTACAAACATCCAATTTGTTTACACAGCCAGCCCTTATACAGCAGCAGCACTCTTAGCAGCACTTGCAGCAACAGCAGGGGACAGCTGCTGCTATAGGCCCCCGTTTTTTTTCGCTTTTGCTGCTGGACGTTTTGCTGCTTTTGCTGCTGTTGATGCTGCTGCTGCTGCTGCTGCTGTTGCTGCTGCGCATAGGGTCTGAGCGTGCTTCTGCAACACTAAATCGAGGAGACAGGTTAAAAGAAGGGTGCCGCATAAATCAGTCTCTGCTGGCCCTAGCAAACTGCATCAATGCCCTTCACGTACGCCAAACTGCAGCAGCAGCAGCAGCAGCAGCAGCAGCAGCACCCGCCCAGCAGCAACAGCAGCAGCAGCAACAGCAGCAGCAGCTGCAGCAGAAGTTTGGGGGTATATTCGTCAACTATAGAAACTCTAAACTAACGCATCTCTTAAAGGACTCACTGGAGGGCAATTGCCTCGTAGTTATGATTGCAAATGTACACCCCAACGCACATGCTTTTCCAGGTAACACCTGCTGCTGCTGCTGCTGCTGCTGCTGCTGCTTCTGTTGCTGGTGCTGCTGCTAGTGGTGGTGGTGGTGCTGCTGCTGCTGCTGGCGGTGCTGTTGCTGCACTTGCTGCTGCTTCTGTTGCGGAAGGGGGTTCTGCTGTGCGATGCTGCTGCTGGAGGGTTTGCTGCTGCGTTTTGCTGCTGGTGCTGCGGTTATTGCTGCTGCTGCTGCTGTTGCTGCTGCTGCAGAGAGCAGCAACACCCTCAAGTATGCCAACAGGGCGAAGAATCTGAAGGTCCCCCTCTCTCTGCTTCGTGCAGCAGCAGCGCAGCAGACACCGGAGGCAGATCGTGCGCGTTTGCTGCTGCTGCTGCACCAGCAGCAGCAGCAGCTGCAGCAGTTGCAGCAGCAAGTGCAGCAGCAGCAGCAGCTGCTGCAGCACCAGGAAGAGCAGCTGCAACACCACCGAGAACTTGTTAAGACGCAGCAGCAACAGCTGCAGCTCCTCTGGTCTGAGAAAGCAGAGCTGGAGGATTGCTTAGCAGCAAACAGCTGCTCGATGCGGCGCCAGAGGTGCACGCACTCAGCAGCAGCAGCAGCAGCAGCAGGCTCTGCTGCTGCCTCCTCTGCACAGACTCAAGAAACAAACGCAGCCGCTCCTCCTGCTGCTGCTGTTGCAGCAACTGCTGCTGTTACTGCTGCTGCTGCTGCTGCTGCGGGAGCCCGATCGGCAGACAGAACACCCCCACGAAGTAGGAGAAACACAGCAGGCACATCCGTAGGCCCTGCTGCTGCTGCTGCAGCAGCTGCTGCTGGACCTGCTGCTGCTGCTGCTGCTGCTGCTGCTTCTCCAGCAGCAACATCAGCTTCTGCTTGCTCCTCCTTGAGGCGCTCGCGGCGCCTAGCCAATGGAGGGGCCCCCAAAACCTGCCTGTGCGAGCGCTGTCACGACACCCCAACTGCTGCTGCAGCACCAGCAGCAGCAGCAGCTGCTGCTGCAGCGGAAGCCCCAGCAGCAACGGAGACAGCTGATAGTGCTGCTGCAAGCAGCACGCACGGAGATGCAGATGCACAATCCCTAAGAAGCACCAGTAGCACCAGCAGCAACAACAGCTGCAGCAGCAACAGCAGCAGCAACAACAGCAGGGAGAGCAGCAGCAGCAACAGCAGCAGTTTAGGCTGCAGGAAGAGGGGGACCTGCGAAGGCGGCCGCGGCGGAAGCCCCTCTGAAGGGCCTTCGGAGTCATCTAAAGCTGCAACGCAGCAGCAGCAGCAGCAACAGCAGCAGCAGGAGCACGAACAGCAGCAGCAGCAGCAGCGGGAGCAGTTGCAGCTGCTGAAGTCTGTCGGCGTTTCGCCCCCAGTAGGGAGTCAGTGGCCTGACTGCAGCAACAGCAGCAGCAGCAGCAGCAGCAGCAAACCACATAGGAAGAGAAGACGCCTCCGCAACAGCGAACATGACGGGCAGGAGACGCCTTCATTAAGGAGGAGCAGCAGCAGCGGCGACAGCAGCAGCGGCAGCAGCAGCAGCAGCAGCAGCACAACAGGAGAAGGATGCAGCACAGCAGCAGCAGAAAGGGACACGGACAAGAGAGCGGCGAGCTCAGGGTTGCTGCCAGGCTTCTCGACTGAAGACGGAATGTGCTGCAGCAGCAGCTGCTACCAATGCAGCAGCAGCAGCAGCAGCAACAGCAGCAGCAGCAGCACCAACAGCAGCAGCAGCAGCAGCAGCGAGGCAGGTAAGAGGGCGTCTTGGGCTGCTAAGCCTTCTCCCGCTTTCTATACCCCAGAAGAGCCACCAGCAGCGCCGGAAGCAGCAGCAGCAGTAGCAGCAACAGCAGAAACAGCAGCAACAACAGCAGCAGCAACGGCAGCAGCAGCTGAAGAACCGGAAGGCATGATTGTAGAGACGCTTCAAGGCCTCGCACTCAGTGCCGGGGCAACGGAGACAAAAGCAGCAGCAGCAGCAGCAACAACAACAACAACAACAGTTGCTGCAGAAGCAGCACACACACCAGATTCAGCAGCAGCAGCAGCAGCGGCAACAGCAGCAGGTTCTACTGCAGCTCCTCCAGCACTCAACAGCGGCGGCGACGCTGCAGCGGGGGCAGCAGCAGCTGATGCTGCTGCTGTAGGTGCTGCTGCTGCACCGGCTGCTGCGCTGGGTGTTGCAGCAGCAGCAGCAGTAAAGACGGAGACACCGACCGCACCAGCGGAGGCAGCAGAAGCTGCAGCAACAGCAGATGCAGAGCTGCCGCCTGCTCGTGAAACAACGACAGCAGCAGCAGCAACAGCATCAGCATCAGCAGCAAAGAGCTCCCGGGAGGAAACCCAGCAGGGGCGAGCCGGTTTGTGCGTTGCGCAGCAGCGCAAGCAGCAGCAGCAGCAGCGCCAGGTGCAGCTGCAGCAGCAGCACCACCAGCAGCAACAGCAGCAGCAGAAGCCGCAACGATCTGCTGCTGAGCTGTTTGGGGTGTCCCCAACTGCAGGGGCCCCGCGTACACTGCGTCTGCAGCGACGACACGAGCAGCAGCAACAGCAACAGCAGCAACAGCAGCAGCAGCAGCGGAATAAGGGCCGCAGTACACTAGGACGGGCCCTGGAGGGCCGCAGCAGCAGCAGCAGCAGCAGCAGCAGCAGCAACAGCAAAAGAGCTGCCAAGGCGCCTTTTATTAATTGGCATTCAAGCAGCAGCAGCAGCAGCACGCATCCCCCCAGCATCAAAGACAGCGGCAGCAGCAGCAGCAGCAGCCACAGCAGCTGCAGCAGCAGCAGCAGCAGCATACGCAGCACGTCCGGGTGCAGAAGCCCCTGCAGCAGCACCAGCAGCATCCCAGAGAGACAGGAAACAGCAGCAGGTAGCAGCAGCAGTAGCAGCAAAAATACAGGCTGGAAGGTCAGCAGCAGCAGCAGCAGCAGCAGCAGCAAAAGCAGCAGCAAAGTAGCGAACGGCAACAGGCATGGCAGCCACGCCAAATTCCATGTGCCTCGTTTCTCGACTACGCACTAGAGCAGCAGCAGCAGCAGCTTGCTTCTGCTGCTGCTGCTGTTGCTGCTGCTGTGCAGCAGCAGCAGCAGCTCCTGCGACTGCCGCTATGCGTCTGCGGTGTATCTGCAGCATACGGCATGTTGCATGCAGCGACTCCTGTAAAGCCAATCAGGGTTTAGTGTTTGGGCTCTGGGGACTGCTGTTCAAATTAGGGTTTAGGGTTTAGGGTTTAGGGTTTAGGGCCCTAGGCACTCATTAGGGTTTAGGGTTTAGGGCTCTAGGCATACATTAGGGTTTAGGGTTTAGGGTTTAGGGCCCTAGGCACTCATTAGTGTTTAGGGTTTAGGGTTTCGGATCCGCTGCTGGAGTTAGCGTTTATATATAAGGTTGAGGACTTGAGGGAAAGAAGGTCTGGGAAACCCTGAGGGTTTAAGGTTTTAGGGTTTAGGGTTTTAGGGTTTAGGGTTTAGGGTTTAGGGTTTAGGGTTTAGGGTTTAGGCCTTATGAAGCGGTTGGCTGTGGGCTCGCGGTGATAGAGGGCTGAGTTTGTAGGTCTTTGTTTGTTTTTAAAATGCTTCAAAAGGCATTAAATAATTAAAATGAACAAACGAAATAAACAAACAAAATAAATAAAACAAATAAAACAAATAAACAATAAGACTGCAAACACCCTCAAGAGCTGCTCTCTTAAGGATCGAGCAGCTGCTGCAGTCTGTCTACATTTTATTATTTATTTTTATTAATTAATTATTAATATTTATTGTTATTTCTTTATATTAAGGAAACTCAAACCAGATTCTGCTGCAGCTACTGCTGCTGCTGCTGCTGCTGCTGCGATGCAAGACCACCAGCAGCAGCAGCAGCAGCAGGTGTTCTGCAGGTAGCTGCAGCAGCAAGTAGAATAAACTGTTGCTGCCAGCAAGCAGACGCTTTTTGTTGAAATACGAGGAGCTACTGTGTACTGCTTCTTGCTGCTGCGGCAGTTGTGTGTTGCTGCTTTATTGCTGCTGCTGCTGTGTTGTTGCTGCTGTTGTGCTGCTGCTGCTGCAGTGTTGCTGCTGCATGCCGACGCTCCCCCCATCTTCAACTTCGCAATGGCCCGCCGGAGGCCTCTGCTGATTCCTAGGGCGCATTTGTTGCTGCAGCTAGACCCTCAGCACAGCAGCAGCAGCAGCAGCAGCAGCAGCAGCAGCACGTGCTGCTGCTGCTGCTGCACCAGCAGAGGAGACTACCGATGCCGCCACGGAGCCGCAGGCGAGGCCGCTGCGCAATGCAGAAGCAGCAGCAGCAGCAGCTGCTGCTGGAGCAGCAGCACCAGCAGCAGCAGCAGCAGCAGCAGCCCCGGCCGCGCCAGATGCTGCAGCAACAGCTAACGGAGGAAGTGCTGCTCTTGAAGGAGGCAGAGCAGCAGCAACAACAGTTGAAATGCAGGCAGCAGCAGCAGCAGCTAGGCGCTCTAGACCTGTGCAGTCCATGCCCTTCAGCCTACGCACGCAGCGAATCAGCAGCAGCAGCAGCAGCAGCGGCAGTAGGTGCTTCTGCTGCTGCTGCCGCTGCTGCTGGACGGCGTCGTTGCAGCAGTGCCCGTATGGCTACAGATCGCGTTCCTGCTGCTGCTTCTGCTTTAGCAGCAGCAGCTGCTGCTGCTGCATTGGATTGCACAGTTAAGTCCCCATGGAGCAGCAGCGAAGAGAAAGAGGTGCGGCTGCTGACGCGCAGCTCAGCAGCAGCAACTGCAGCAGCAACTCCTCTCGCTGCTGCAGCTTCATCGCCAGATGACGATTCAGAAAACAAGAAGCAGCAGAAGCAGCAGCAGCAGCAGAAGCACGAGCATCCGGCTTACCAGCAGCAGATTAGGGCAGAGAATCAGCAGCCACAGCAGCAGCAGGCAGAGCCTCACGGGCATGATCAGACTGGGAAGCAACAGCAGCAGCAAGAGCAGCAGCAGCAGCAGCAGCAGCAACTAGCTTGCTCGCTGCAGAAAGAGGAAAGTTGCAACTCAACTGTTGCTCAGGACCAGCAGAAGCAGCAGCAGCAGCAAGTGCAGCAGCAGATACAGCAGCAACAGGATCTAAAGGCTCCTGTGGAGGGGCCTCAGCAGGCAAGCGCTACAACAGAAGCAGCAGCAGCTGCTGCTGCAGCGGCTGGTGTAGAGGCAGATGTTGTGGCTGCTGATGTTCCTGCTGCTGCTGCTGCTGCGAGAGATCGGGTAGGCGCTAGCGCCAGCTGCTGCAGCAACAGGAGAAGCAGCAGCACGAAGAGCAACAAGTATCGGCAAGGACAGGAACGCAGTAGCCCTCAAGGTAGCAGCAGCAGCAGCAGCAGCAACAGCAGCAGGCCTCACAGGAAGCCCGCTATTCTTGCTGTTGCCCCTCGGGTTTGGGACGAGCGCGACTTTGCTGCTGCTGCTGCAGCAGGTGCTGATGCTGCAGCTGGTGCTGCTGCAAACTTCTTAGATGCTGCTGCTGCGGCAGCTCGGGCTCAGCTCGTGCAGCAGCAGCAGCAGCAGCAGCAAACGCGCATGCAGCTGCAGCGGCTGCGCCAGGCAGCAGCAGAACTATCGAGGGTCTGCATCGTGAAACAGAAGGAGCTGCTGCTGCTGCAGGAAGCAGCTGAAGGTGCAGCACTAGACAGCAGCAGCTGCAGCAACGGTAGCAGCAGCAAGCGTGGGGAGGACGACAGCGAGGTTGCTGCTGCTGCAGCTCTGTGCCATGTAGAGGAGCTGCTGTTGCTGCTGCAGCAGCAGCAGCAACAGCGTGAGCAGCAGCTGCAGCAGCTCAAGATTGAAGAGAGGAGGCTGCTGTTACTGCTGCAGCAGGGAAGCCAGAGAAGGCAGCAGCAAGTGGCAAGCCTTTGCAAAGAAGTTCTGTTTCCAGTATGTTGCTGCTGCTGCTGCTGCTGCTGCTGCTGTGGTTGTTGCTGCAGTTACCTCTGGTGCTGCTCTCTCTGCAGGCGTTGCTTCTCTTTTGTTTGCTGCTGCTGCTGCTCGTCTTGCTTCGTGCTGGGAGAGCGTTTTGCTACTGCGGCTGCAGCTGTTCTTGCAGTTTCTGCTTTAGCATCTACACCTGCTGCTGCTGCTGCTGCTGCTGCTGCTGCTGCTGCTCAGGTTCTTTGTTTGGTGTCGGGTGTCTTCGCCACGGCCGCCTCCGCCTCAAGCGGAGATTCGCTTTATGTGAGCGCAGCAGCAACAGCAGCAGCAGCAGCAGCAGTTGTATCTGTTTCTTCACTCGCTGCAGCTTTTTTTGTTTGCTTAGAAACAGTTTGCGGTCTCTTCGCTTGGCAAGGCACCTCGCTTAGCTAGCTAGCGAGCTAACTAGCTAGCTAGCCAGCTAGCTAGACAGCTAGCTAGACAGCTAGCTAGCTAGCTAGGTATTTCCTTATGGCAGTGCGCTGCTGTGGGGGGCTTAACAACCAAACTAACTGATGCTGCTGCCGCTGCTGCTGCTTATGTTGCGGGTTTGCAGCAACTTGTTGCAGCGCTGGGGCGGCAGCGGCTGCTGCTGCAGCTGAACGAAGCCTCGTATCCTTCCTTAGATGTCTCGCTGCAGGGGCTTTGCTTCTACTTTGCTGCTGCAGCGCAGCAGCAGCTCATGTGGGTCCCTTGATTGCATGCTGCAGCTGCTGTGCTGCCTGTGTCTCAGCAGCTGGTTCGTTTGCTGCTGCTTGTTCTTCATTTGCTTCTGTTGAGTTTCCGTTGCTTTGTTTGGTTTGCTGCTGCTGCTGCTGCGTGCAGGAAGAAGCTGCAGCTATTGCTGCAGCAGCTACAGCAGCAGCAACTGCCGCTGCGCCTGCGACTGCGAGCTGCGGAAGAGATCCGATCCGAGCAGCAGCAGCAGCAGCAACAAGGAACTGCTGCTGCTGTTGCTGCAGCACCTGCATCGTGTCTCTCCACAGGCATCGCTGAGGCGCTGCAGCAGCTGCTGCTGCCGCTGCTGCAGCAAGCAGCAGAAGCACAAGTTGCTGCTGTGTGGCTGCAGCTGCTGCAGGTCTTCCGGGAGGCTCTTCGTAGTGCTGTGGGGGCGTTGCAAAGGCAGGCGGTCAACTCTGCAGCAGCAGCAGCAGCAGCAGCAACAGCAACGGCCGCAGCAGCAGCTCCCCAGGCCTCTCCGCCTATCATTTGGCTTCCTATTGCCGATGCTGCTGCTGCTGCTGCGCTGCATGCACGAGCAGTCAGAGCACTGCAGCTGGACGTTCACTTCAGCAGCAGCAGCAGCAGCAACAGCAGCAGCAGCAACGACGGGGTAAGCAACATCATGGCACTGCACGCTGCAGCATCAGCTGCTGCTGCCGCTGCAGCTGCTGCTGCTGCTGAGAGGGAAGAAGCAGCGAGTCCCCATGCGGCTCATCACAAGCCGCACACTGCAGCTGCAGCAGCAGCAGCTGCTGCTGCTGCTGCTGCGAAGTTCCAAAGCATCTTTTGCTTCCTGGGGGCACCTTATCGACTTAGGCTGCTTCCAGAGGGAGCTCAGCAGCAGCAGCAGTTGCAGCAGCAGCAGCAACGACAGCAACAGCAGCAAGGGGCGGGCTTGCACTTGTCGCTGCAGGCTAGTTCCTTAGACCTGCTGTGCTCAGCAGCAAACGACGCCACGCTGCTGCTGCTGCTCTGCATGCAAATTGAGCGGTCCTTGCAGCAAGCAGCAGAAACAGCAGCAGCACGCTGCACTACTCAGCAGCAGCAGGTACTGCTTGGAAGTGCCCCCAGCATCAGCAGCTGCAGCAGCAGCAGCTGCAGCAGCAGTAACAGCAGCAGTTGCTGCTACCAGCAGACCGCCTCCCCTTCCCTAAAAGCAGAGGTGCATAGTAGCAAAGTCACATCGGTCAATCAGCTGCAGCAGTTGCCGCAGCAGCAGGGACAGCAGCAACAGCAGCAGCAGCAGGAGAAGCAGCAGCAGCAACAGGATAAGCAGCACGGGACCCGCTGGCAGGGGCTGCTGTCCTCAGTGAGAGGAGGCCTCAATAATCTGCAGCAGCTTGCTGCTGCTGTTCCTGGGCGTCTGTACACTCCAACATCAGCTGCAGGCGACCAGCAGCAGGAACAGCAGCAGCAGCAGCAGCAGCAGCAGCAGTCTCGCAGCAGCAGTAGCAGTCCGCCTCGGTCCGACTCAGCACCAGCAGCAGCAGGAGAAGCAGCAGCTGCTGCAGAGACAGCCTCGGACAGCAGCAAAGGTGCTGCTCGCATGATTTCTTTGTGCTGCCTATCGAATTCCAGCGGTGCAGCAGCAGCAGCTGCAGCAGCAGCAAGAACAGCAGCAGCAGCCGACGCAGCAGCTGCAGCTTCGAGGCGTCTGGCGAGGAGGGAGCAAGAGCTGCTGCAGCAGGAAGCAGCAGAAGTTCATGAGGGTATTTCTGTTGGCTGTGCTGCTGAAGCTGTCTCTTGTGCCCGCCTGCTGCGGCGGCTGCAGCAGCAAATAAGTGCTGCTGCTGCTAAGCCATTTGAGGAAGCGATGAGGCAGCAGTAAGTCCCCTCTTGCTGCTGTTGCTTCTCCCGCTGCTCTCGCTGCTGCTGCTGTATGGGTTCTGCTGCTGTGAGACGAATGTTGTACGTTGTTTTCGCTGCTGCTACTGCTGCTGCTGCTGCTGCTGGGAGAGCAGCCGCACAGCACACCTTGCTTGCATGTCTGCTGCTGCTTGTGTTTGTGCTGCTGTTGCTGCTGTCGCTGCTGCTGCAGCTCGGACGTGCTGTCGGTTGACTTGAGGGAGATGCTGCGGCTTCTGGTGGCACCCGAAGGCGGTTTGCTGCTGCAGATACACCTGAGGCTGCTGCCTGCTGCTGCTGCTGCTTCTCTGGCGGGGGTTATACAGAGGGTCTTCCGATGTTACTTCCGCTGCGTCTGGCTAACCAGGCCTAAGAGGTGCTACTGCTGCTGCTGCTGCTTCCGTTGCTTCTGCTGCTGTTGCATCTGCTGCTGTTGATGAAATTGCTGCAGTGCAGCAGCTGCTGCAGCTGCTGCGTTCCTGTCTTGTGCCGTTGTGGCGTCCTCCTCCTAGAAGGCCCCACACTGTTCTACTTCCACCGCTGCAGCAGCAGCAGCAGCAGCAGCTGCTGCTGCTGCTGCTGCTGCTGGTTGGGTCTCTAGTTTGTGGAGTTGAGGGTTATGTTTTGTGGGGTTTGTTTATGCAGACAGCAGCGGGAAGGCTTCCTCTCTCGTCTTCTGCTGCAGCTGCAGCGAGACAGCGATTTGCTCTTCAAGGCATTTTCATCGTTTGTGGCGTCGCATGCAGCAGCAGCAGAGAGGCAGCAGCAAGCCGCAGCAGCAACAGCAGCACGAACTCTAGGACAGAATCTGCTGCTGCTGCACTTGCTGCAGCAGTTCCTCATGTCTCCAGCTGCTGCCTCCCAGGACCGCCTGCTGCAGCTGGTAGAGTGTCTTGCGACCCCACGCTCTGCTGCTGCTGCTGCTGCTGCAGCTGCTGCAGCACAGGGCGCAGCAGCAGCTGCTGCTGCAGCAGCAAAAGTTATTGCTGCTGCCTGCCGACTCGCTGCGGGTTTCGTGACTCTCCGAACAGACCTATCGCTGCAGCAGCGGCAGCAGCTTCTTGCTGCTGTATGCGCGCGGCTGCAGCAGGCCGCTGCATGCGCGCTGAAGGAGCAGCAGCAGCAACAGCAGCATCAGCAACACCAGCAGCAGCACCAGCAGCAGCACCAGCAGCACCAGCAGCAGCAGCACCAGATGCAGTATCAGCAGCAGCAGCAGCAGCAGCAGCAGCCAAACACTGACAGTTTTAGGTGCTTCGTGTGGCGGCATGGTTTGCTTCCAGTTGGCTGCAGCACAGTCCTCATAGCACCGCAGCAGCAGAAGCAGCAGCAGCAGCAGCAGCAACCTGTGGCTGAGCGTCGTATCTCTGGGCTGGAGGGACCTGTTGTTCGGGGACGAGCAGCAGCAGCACCAGCAGCGAGAGCAGCAAATGCGGCAGCGGAGTGGGAAGAGCCATGGGCTGTGGTAGAGGTAGCTACACTGCAGCAGCAGCAGCAGCCGCAGCAGCAGCTGCAGCAGCGACGGCAGCAGCAGCAGCCGCTGGACTGCTTTTTGCAGCAAGAAGTGTGCGAAGTCCGCAAGGGTTGCCTTTGGTTGCTGCCGCGCCCCAGCAGCAGCAGCAAAAGGGCTGCAGAAGCAGCAGCAGCAGCAGCGGCGCGTATTCCCCTTGATGCCTTCTGCTGCATTAGGGCTCCTGCCCGTGCTGCGGTGTCTCCAGGCAGCGATCGCAGCAAGCAATGGCGGCAGCAGCAGCAGCAGCAACAGCAGCAGCAACAGCAGCAGCAGCAACTGCATAAACAGAAACAGCAGCAGCAGCACAGAAAACGCTGTTGCTGCTGTGGTGCTTCCGAGGAGGAGCTGCTGCTGCCGGGAGTTGCCAGGACGCAGCAACTAATTCTCGTAAGGATGCGATCCTGCTGCTGCTGCTGCTGCTGCTGCAGAGGCGTTGTTGCTGTGGCTGGAGTTGCTGCTTGCTAGGTGTTGCTGCTGCTGCTGTTGCGGCAGCGGTGGATTCAGGCTGCCTGCGTCGTTGCTGCTGCTGCTGCTTGTTATGCTGCTGCTGCGTTTTTGACGAGGTGTACGTACACCCGAGCGTTTGCGATGCTGTGGGGTTTGTGCTGCTGCTGCAGAGCTTCAGCGACGGGGTGCGAGTGCCGCTGCGGCTGCTCTTTGCTGCAGCAGCAGACCGTAAAGAGTGCCTCCAGGCCATCAAGAGGGAACTAGCAGCTCTGAAACAGAAGCACAGCAGCAGCAGCTGCAGCAGCAGCAGCAACAGCAGACGTCGTAAGAGGCGGCTTGTTGCGAAGGACACAAGAGATGAACACGGAGGGGCTATTTGTTTCTTCCCAGGGCCCCAGCTGCAGCAGCATTTGGCTGCTGCAGTTGCTGCTGCTGCTGCTGCTAGCGATGCTGAGTGCGGTGCAGCCGCAGGCAAAATCCATGCAAGCTGCAGCAGAACCAGCACTAAGAGCAGCAGATATGAGCCTCCTCCCCCTTCGGGAGCGTTGCTGCAGCCGTTGCTAACACCTACAGCGAATAGGTCCAGTCAGCTGTATCTGCTGCAGCAGCAAGACCTGCCTGCAGCAGCAGCAGCAGCGGTTCTTCCCTCGCAGCAGATGTCAGTGACTTCCAGCCCAGCAGCAGCAGCAGCAGCAGCAGCAACAGCAGGAAGAGGATCTCTGTTGCGTCGTTTTGTCGGGTTGCTTTTTGGTGGTGCTGGGCCCTGTACTGAAAAAAAAGCAGCAGGACCCCAAGCAGCAGCAGCAGCAGCAGAAGATTCATTTCCCGCTGCTCACTGGCTGCTGCAGTCCGAAGACGAGACTTCCAACAGCAGCACCAACAGCAGCAGCAGCAGCAGCAGTTCTGAGTCTGAAGGGGAGGCCACTTTTGCTCCGCCGCGCCAAAGTGCACAAAGACGTAAGCAGCCTTCACGGCGTGCAGCAGCAGCAGCAGCAGCTGCTGCTGCTGCTGCTGCTGCAAGGACTTCTGCTGCTGAGATAATGCTCTTTCCGGCCTGAGTGTGAATCCTTGCTGCAGCAGCAGCACTCTGTAGCTAGCCGCTAGCTAGCTATCCAGAAAGCTGTATGCTTACAGCATGCGTACAGCGGATTTGTCTGGCAAGCTAACCGCAGCAGCAGCAACTGGCAGCAGCAGCAGCAGCAGCATCAGCAACAGGAGCAGCCGGGAGTGCAACAGGAGCAGCAGCAGCTGCAGCCGATGCAACTGTTGCTGGGTTTGAGTTTTGTGCTGCTGCGTTCAGCAGCTTGAAGCGGAGGCGTAAGCAATTTTTCTTCGTTTTGTTTTTCTTGTTTTTCTCTGCTATAGACGCTTTAGACGCGCAAAGTTCCAGCAACCTCTATTTTAATACCTCTACATACATATATACATATATCTACATTATGTATATATATATATATATATATATATATATATATATATATATATATATATATATATCTGTGTATATATATATATATATATATATATATATATATGTACATGTATGTATACATATATCCATATATATATATATATGGATATATCAAGGTGTGTGCAGCTAGCTGTCTGGGTAGCTAGCTATCTAGCTACCTAGCTATCTGTCTAGCTAGCTAGCTTGCTAGCTAGCTCCCCCCTTACCCCCTAGCTACGGGATGAACTAGCTAGCCATACCTGCATGGGCGCGGAGCTCGACTGGCTCTAGATGCCTGGCTAGCTATCTATGTGGCTGGCTAGCTATATGGCTAGCCAGCTAAACGGCTAGCCGGCTAGCTGGTTAGCTAGCTATCGGACTAGCTAGCTATCTGTCTACCCTGCTAGCCAGCTATGTGGCCATCTGGCTAGCTGGATAGCTAGCCAGGTCTTCCTCTTTGCAGCTGAAAGAAAGCTAAATATTGAAGTTAGTTAAAGTCTGGAGGTCGTACATTATGCATGCATGCATGCACAGCAGCAGAATCCAAATGGCTTCTGCTGCTGCGATGTACACTCTAAACGGCGACAGACACTCAGCGCCGGCAATGGTATACAAAGGTTTGCGGCTGCTGCTGCTGCTGCTGCTGTTGCACAAAATTCGTGCTGCTGCAGCAAGCGTCTTGCATGCTCGCCACCCCACTGCTACTGATGCTGCTGTGGTAGCGCTTCCTTCTTATTAATGCTCTTTCTTGAGGAGCCTGTTGCTGCTGCTGCTGCTGCTGCTGTAGATCTTGCTGTTGCTTGGCGTCATTCTTGCTTATGGAATGGCGGGCGGGTAGTTACGGTACTGCTGTTGCTGCTGCAGCAGCAGCAGCAACAGCGGCATGGAGCAGCAGCAGCAGGTGGGGCGCATAGCCGTAGCAGTTATCTGCCGACTGAAGCCTGGTTGATGCTGTTGACTCGCCATACACCTAAACAATTGTTTAAATGGTGTACAGACAGTGCAGCAGGCTGCTGCTGTTGTGCAGCAGCACCCATGCATGCGCATGCAAACAAACCGCCACTCAGCATCAGCACAGGGGCCTCCAACAGCACCTCTTGGGGCCCCAGGGGCCCCTACGAAGCATTTTAAAGCAGAGCAAATATACACCTGCAGCAATAAAAGGCTGCTGCTACCCAGCATCAGGCAAATTAAAACAAGCGAACAGACAGGCTGCATGCATCATAAGCCAATCATATTATCCACTCAAAGCCAACAAAACCTTCTCTACCTCATTCCTTCAAATTCCCGCTGGGTCTCCCAGGGGCCCCTAGGGGGGCCCCCTGGGAAGGCCCTGGTACTCCTAGGGGGGCCCCTACGAGGGCCCTTAGGGGGGCCTCTAGGACGGCCCTTAGGGGGGCTACTAGGATGGCCCTTATTGGGGCCCCTAGTGGGGCCCCTAGGGGCGCCCCTAAGGGGGGCCTCTTGGGGGGACCGCAAGGGGGGCTTTTGGGGAGGCCCCTCTGGGGGCCCTTTTGGGGGCCCCCAAGGGGGCCTCCGCGGGGGCACCCAACCCCAGGGGGCCCCTCACCAGAACCCTGACACACACAACGAGCATTACAGGGGCGTAGCATATCTGGGGGCCCCTCAGCGAATTCGCTGCATCAAATTAGAGACAGTAGGGGCCCATAGGGGGCCCTTTGGGGTCTCTAAAGGCCCTAGGGGGCCCTTACTAGCGCAGGAGGCCCTTGCCTTAAAGGGCCTCCTAAGCTGTTCAGGCTTTGAAGCCCTCGTTTATCAACGTCTCAGCGTCCAGCAGCAGCAGCAGCAGCAGCAGCAGCCACAGATGTTGCTGGTAGGCTGTCGGAGAGAAATTCAAACTCAGCTGTCTGTACACCGCAAATTAAACCGGAGGAGAATACTCGACTGCTGCACTCTTTGAAGCTGCGCTTTCTAGTGGGGTTCTTGCTGCAGCACCGACAACAGCAGCAGCAGCAGCAGCTTTCGCTTCGGGGGAGGATGTCGTTCCTGCTGCTGCTGCTTCTACCGAGCTACAACCGCTGCTCGCCTGCTGGACTCCCCACAAAAGGCGCTTTGTTGCTGCTGGGTCTTTGGCCTGCTGCAGCAGCAGCTGCTGCTGCTGCTGCTCATTGCTTCGGCCTTGCTGCTGCTGCGGCTGCTGCAGCAGCAGCTGAACCAGAGGCCCCCAAAGATGTGGGGCCCTCTGCTGCTTGCCCTGTGAAGCGATGGCTGTAGGGGCAAGGAGCTGCTGCAAAGCTGCAGCAGTAGTGAGCTCTTCTGCTGCTGCTCTTGGTGCTGCTGTTGTTGCTGCTGCTGCTGCTGCTGGTCGTCGTGCTGCTGCAGCTGGTGCTGCCAGATTTGCTGACGCAGCTGCTAAGTCCTGGGGAGAATTTGTAAGAGCAACGAGAGCCCTTTCTACAGCAGCAAGGGCAGCGGCTGTAGCCGCGTGCGTTCCAGTCTGCATGCTGCTGCTGCTGCTACTGTTGCTGCTGCTGCTGCTGCTGCTGCTGCTGCTGGGTGCGCTGTTGCTGCTGGCGTTGATGTTCGCCGCTGCAGCAGCCTCAGCCAAGAGCAGCAGCGCCTGCTGCTGCTGATGCTGCTCTGTCCCTCCTGACAGCAGCGCAGCGAGCTCCAATAAGGTCTGCAGATATACTCGTGACGGTTGTGGCTCTTGCTGCTGCTGTGGCTGTTGCTGCTGCTGCTGCTGCCGCTGCACGATTACGTTTTGGTGCACGTCAGGCGCTGCGCATGCTGCAGCAGCAGCAGGTAACACCGAATGCTGCTGCTGCTGCAGCGGCGGCTGCCGTTCACGAGCCAAGTGGTGGCCCATAGGATTTACTTCGGAGGAGCTGCTGCAGCTGCTGCCAACAGCAGCAGCAGAAGCACCAGCAGCAACCTTTCGCTTTTTGGGGACACCTTCGGTTTGACAGGGCCCAGTGTCTGCCAGGCAAAGGCGTGCATTCGGCAGAGGTCTTCTTGTTGCTGCTGCTGTTGCTGCTGCTGCTGCTGCTGCTGCTGCTGCTGCAGGCTTGCCTTGAGGCCACATCGAGATCATCGGAGAGCATCCAGCGGTTGCTGCTGCTGCTGCTGTTGCTGTTGTTGCTGCTGCTGCAGAATAGCTTGCCCCCGCATTTGTTTGGCTGCTGCAGCTGTCAGCAGCAGCTGCAGCAGCTGCTGCAGGTAGCAGTGCATCTATAAGACCAAACCCATCGGATGCAGCAGCAGCAGGAGTAGTAGCACTAGCCGCTGCTGCTGCTGCCTCTTGTGTTTCTCTTGTTGCTAATGTAGCTGAGGGGATAAGCTGGAGCAGCGGTGACGGTAGGGAAGCAGCAGCAGCAGCAGCAGCCGCTGCTGCCGCTGCTGCTGCCTCCCTTTGCCGATTTGCTGCAGCAGCGGATGGCTGCAGCGACAGCAAAGCTGCTGCTGCTGTACGCTGTAGGCGCACCCGCAGCTCGGCCTTGCTCCAGATGCCGCCTGCAGCAACGGCGCTGCTGCTGGTGCTGTGGCTGTTGCTGTTGTTGCTGCTGCAGAGGGCATTTGCTGCTGCAGCTGCTGCTGCAGCTGTTGCTGCTGCAGATGCCCTTGGGGGAGCCTCTGCATTCCTCAGTACCCTGCCAAGGGGACCTTGCAGTAGCAGCGCCCCCAGTTGCTGCAGCTGAAGCCGCTGCAGCATATCTCCCTCAGCTGCGGCCCTCGCAACGGCATCTGCTCCTGCTGCTCCTGCTGCCGCTGCTGTTGCTGCGGTGCCAGCAGCAGAAAGGGCCCCCGATCCGTCTGTTTCAAATCGTTTGATGGATAGGGGCCCCCCCCTGAAGTGTCCTCGTCGGTTTGTTGCTGCTGCAGCAGCAAGAGCAGCAGCAGCTCTTCCCCTTCCAGCAGCAGCTGCAGCGACAGCTGCTGCAGCAGCTGCTGCAGTTGCTGCGACAGATGTCTTGTGGTACTGCTGATCGTGCTGATGTTGCTGCTGTTGCTGCTGCTGTTCTTTGTGTGCTCCTCTTCCCTTATGGGGGCCCCCTGCGGGGGCCCTTCCATCTGCTAGTGCTGCTTGGGGGCCCCTCTTTCCTCTTTGTCTGCTTCCGCCTCCTCTTCTTCTGTTTTGCATGCAATCTGCAGCATCAAGAGGTCCGCCTCTGCGTGCATTTGGGGTGTCTGCTGAGGTAAGCCCTGGGGGCCCCGGGGGGCCCCCTTCGTGGGGGCCCCCTGTGGGTAATCCTCTAGGAGCAGCAAGTAGAGCATACTCCATCTTTCTTCTGCATGAAATTGCAGCATTGTATGCTTCGCTGATGTCCCCGTATTTCTTTATTTTGAAGTGCTTACACTCTCTTCTGCCTTTGTGCTGCAGCTGCGCCATAAAAGAAGCATTTTGCTTATCAAAACAAACCCCATACACCCGAGGCAGCTTAGCTACAGCTTCAGCCAAACTCGCAGCAGAATGAGAAGGGCCCCGGGGGCCCCCGCAGCCCCTACTCGGGGGCGGCCCCCCCCCGCTGCTACCCAGTGTAAGGGGGGAGGGCAAGGCGCTGCTTGATGCTTCGGCGCTTCTAGGAACTACTGCTGCTGTTGCTGCTGCTGCTGCTGTTGCTGCTGCTGCTGCAGATGCTGCTGCTGCTGCTGCTGGTGCAGATGATCCTGGCGCTGCTACTGCTGCTACTCCCTCATCGGCAAAAGAAAAAGAAAACCCTCGAGAGCCACGGAAGTAACGCCCGCAGGAGATGGAAGCAGGATGTGCTGCCGTTCCTGCTGCTGTTGCTGCTGCAGCTGCAGCAGCTGCTGCTGCTGCTGCTGTTGATGATGATGACGATGGTAATGAGGCAGGTGGTGCGCGGCCGCTGCAGGGCCGCAGCAAAAGCCCACCTACGCTGCTTTCCGAAGGAGATTGCTCCTTATCAATGTTTACAGCAGCAGCAGCAGCTGCTGCTGCTGCTGTTGCAGCGCTACACCGTCTGCGGGGCCCCAGCGACGGCAAAGGCCGCAACAATTCGGTTGACAAGCATGAAGCTGCTGTGCTGGCAGCTGCTTCTCCCACCGACCCTAAAAGTCCCTCTTGCATCCGTTGCTGCTGCTGCTGCTGCTGCTGCTGCTGCCTTTGCTGCAGCGGTACAGTGTCTGTCCAGCTGCTGTTACACAGCGAAAATATTTCCTTTACTGCTGTTGTGGGGACCCCCTCGGCATTGTCTTCTTTGGGGGGCCCTCTGAAGAGTTCTCCCACTGCAGCAGCAACGCTGCTGCTGCTGATCCCTGTCGCTGCTGCTGCTCCCTGTTGCTGCTGCTCTTTTCGCTGCAGCCGGAGGAGCGCAGCAGCACCGCCTGTCCCTTCAAGTTGGTGCTGCTGCAGCAGGAGGCCCTCGTCTGTCTCTCCGTTTCCTGCTGCAGCTGCTGCCCAGTTTGCTGCTGCAGCAGCATGCTGCAGCAGGTACCTTGAGGCCTTGTTGCTTGGTGCCTTGTTGGGAGCGGTTGCGGCTGCGGCAGCTGCTGCCACAGCCGCCGCAGCAGCTGCTGCATTTGTTGCTGCAGCTTCTGCTGCTGCTGCAGCTGCTGCTGCAGCAGCAGCAGCAGGATTGAGGCCTCCCCCTCCTCTCCCGTCATTCCCTCGCTGCAGCTCGTGTGCGCGCCTCCATAGCACTGCTTTCCAGAAGGCCTTGCATAAATCTGAAGGGGTATTAAACTGAAACCGTTTGCTGCAGCGCCCTCTGCCTCTGCCGCAAGGCGACAAACCTCTTCTAGGCTTTCTTTCTGTTCTTTGAGATTGAAAATAAGACAAAAAAGACTGTCTCTGGGTGTCTAGAGACACCCCACACACCTTAGGGGCCCTCTCTAACAAATCCCCTAAAGAACGTACACTCAACAAATGCAAATCCACAAACTCGCAAGGACTCGGTCCTGCTGCTGCTGCTGCTGCTGCTTCTGCTGCTGTTGAGGTTGAGGGTGATGTTGGCGGGGCTGTTTCTCCCCCTGCTGCTGCTGCTGCTTCTGATGCTGCACAAACAGCCTCGGATTGTGGAGCTGCTGCGGTGCTGCTGCGGTCTGGAGATGCGCTGTCCCTAGCTGCCGTCCGACCGGTTGCCGCTGCTGCTGCTGCTGTTGCTGTTGCTGCTGCTGTTGCTGTTGCTGCTGCTGCTGTTATTTCACTGCTTGATTCTCTGCTGCCTCCGCCGCTGCACATCGAATGCGCTTGAGGGCTCCTTACAAGGGTTTCCAGGGGTGGGGAGGCCATATCAGACTCTTCTTCTTCTGCTGCTGCTGCAGCTGCTGCTGCTGCTGCTGCAGCTGCTGCTGCTCTAGGGTCCCCCCCAGCGCAAATCCGCTGCAGCTCTGCTAGACAAGCTACTGTTGGCAGCTTGGTGCCGGAGTAAGACAAAGCAAGAAAGCCGCATGCAAGGAGCTGCATCTCAACGGAGAGGCCTCCTGCTGCTTCCGAACCTTCTGGTTCGCTGCTGCTGTTGCTGCTGCTGCTGCCGTTGCTGCTGCTGCTGCTGCTGCAGGCCGACTCCCTGTTTTCCGCAAGCTGTGTATCTTCTGATGGAAGCTGTTGCTCTTGGAGCTCTTGCTGCTGCTGCTGCTGCTGCTGCTGCTGCTGTTGGGGTAATGCCGGCTGCGTTTGGGTTTGCTGTTTAAGCTGCAGCCCGCCTTCCTCCTCGCGTTGCTGCTGTTGTTCTTGTTGCTCTTGCTGCAGTTGCTGCTGTTGCTGCTGCTGCTGCTGCTGAAGTGCTTCGCCAGAGGTCGATTCCCTTCGGTCCCACAGCCCCGTGACGAGCTCTGCAAATCGGTCTGGGTTTCCCTTTGCTGTTGCTTCTGCTGCTGCTGCTGCTGCTACATCTTGGCTCTCGGGGTCAGCAGTAGCAGCAGCAAGACAGCCGTCTGCTGCTGCTGCAGCACAAAGGAAAATAAGTTTGTCTTCCGAAGCACAAAGCTCACAAGAAGGAAGGCCTTTCTGCCTCGCTGGTCCTCCTGGTTGTTTGAGTGCTGCTGCTGCTCTGTTGCGGCTCCGGGGTGCAGCTCGTGCAGCAGCAGCAGCCCTCTTGTGCAGCACTTTGCTGCTGCTGCTACCACCGCCGGAAGGATGCAGCAACTCACTGTGCAGCAGCGAGTCCGCAGCTAGCTGCTGCAGCGGGAACCCTAAGCCGCCCTCTTTGCAGCAAACGGTATCACTCTCTGCTTCTTCTATTTCTGCTGCTGCTGCTGCTGCTGCTGCTTTTGCTGCTGGGTCTACAGACGCAGCGAGGGAGGTGAACTGCCAGGGGGCTTCCGAGACGTCTCCTTCCCAGTCGGCGCTTCGCCGCAGCAGCAGGTGCTGCTGCTGCTGCGGCTGCTGCTGCTGCTGGCAGCAGCCTCCCTTCTCTCTTGTTGGCCCTCCCTGCTGCGTAGGAAGGGCCCCCAAGCCTAGGATGTCTGAAGGTATAGGGAGGATGAGGCGCTCTAAAGACAAACAAGAAAGAGGTGCAGCAGACTCGGAGCTGCTGGCTTCCCCTGCTGCTGACGCTGCTGGTGTTGCTGCTGCTGGTGTTGCTGCAGCTCGGGGAGGGCTATTGCTGCACCGCGCATTAGCTGCCGCGCGAGGGGCCTCCGAGGCAGACCAGCGGTTGGCTAGCGCCTCAGCAGCAGCAACTGCTGCTGCTGCTGCGGTTGTTGCTGCTGCTGCTTCGTCTGATGCACCAAGGTGTACGGGGAGTTGCTGCTTCTGCTCCCTCGGACCATGTTCGCTGCCTTTCTCCGCAACAGCTGCTGCAACAGCTGTTGCTGTTGCAGCAGCAGTAGCAGGCTGCTTCTGCTGTGCATTCTCTGGTGCAGCTGCAGATGTATCGGCAGCAGCAGGAAGCAGATAAGTAGGCTGCTGATGGTGGTGCTGCTGCTGCTTCTGCTGCTGTTGCTGGTGCTGTTTGAGCGCAAGGAGTAGCTGCTGCTGGTGCTGCTGCTCGTGCTGCGGCTGCTGCTGCTGCTGTGTTTGGGGCTTAACAGCAGCGCCCAGAGACGTGATGGCGGACAGCAGCAACGGAGGCTCTGCAGGAGCAAGAACTCCCTCTAGAGCTGGAGATACAGCTGGGGAGTCAGCAGAAGAAGAACTAAGGCAATAGCGAGGGCCCCCAAAGAGAGGTGGCAGCAGCAACGCCTTTAGCTGCTGTGACACTGGAGATCTGCTGGCAACGACTACTGGCTTGCGGGAGCTTCCTGCTGCTGCTGCTGCTCCTGCTGCTGCTTCGCCCACCTCGGAAGCAACAGCAACATCCACACTTTCATGCGGAAGATGCAAAACACCCTCTCCTCCCGCTGCTGCTGCGCATCGTGCTGCTGCTGCTGCTGATGCTGCTGCTGCGGCGCCGGAGGACGAGGCGACCCTATCTTCAAGCAAAGACGTACAGTCTTCGTTTGCTTCCCTCATGGCGATCTGCTGCTGCTGCTGCTGATACTGCTGCTGCGGCTGCTTCCGTTCCCACTACGGCTGCTGCTGTTGTTGCTGCCGCCGTTGCTGCTGCTGCTGCTGCTGCTAGCTGCTACTACTGATGCACTGTGTTGCTGCCTGGCCTGAGGTGTACGGGCAAGGCAGTTCCCTCATGTTCTTTCGCTCTACACACACAGCGCGCTTCTGATGTCGCTGCTGCTGCTGCTGCTGCTGCTGCTGCTGTGTGTTGTGGTTGCGGGTGGTCAGTGCTTTGACTGGCCCCCACGCCGCTCAAGAGTCCCACAAGTGTTTGTATGGACGTCCCTGGGATCGTCGCCCTGGGATCGTCTCCCTGGGATCGTCTCCCCGGGATCGTCTCCCTGGTGGGATCGTTTCCTTGGGATCGTCACCCCTGTGGTGGTCTCTCCGGGATCGTCTCCCCGGGATCGTCTCCCCCGGATCGTGTTAATCTAGATATTGTGTTTCCCTCTATTGGCCAAGAGATCGTGTTCTGTTCAGCTTCTGGGATCGTCTCCTCCCCTCTGCTCGGCGCAGCAGTCCCTCCAGGTGTCTCCTCTGCGGGTGTACAGACACCGTAGATGCTATACAGGGCTGGCCTGAGTTTGTTTACGCAGTTGGGTGGTTGTCGCCGTCAATAAACCTTCTGCGGCAACGGAGAGACGGGATACCCTTGCTGCTGCTGCTGCTGCTGCTGCTGCTGCTGCTGCTGGTGCTGCTGCTGCTGCTGCTGCTGGAGGGCTGGCGGAGGGATGTGCTGCGCGGTCTATGGCAAGACACCAACCGAAAAAAAATGCATGCGCACCCTGATGCGGGAACCGGTACTGCTGCAGCTGCTGCTTTTACTGCTACTGCTACAGCACCGCAGGGAGCAGCAGCAGCAGCAGCAGTGGCAGCAACGGATGGGGCAGGCCTGTGCGGTTTGGAGTATAGGGGAGGCGGTTTCCAAGTGTCGAGGTCTATTAAGAACATGCAGTTGTGTTTTGCTGCCTTTGCTGCAGCTGCTGTTGCCGTTGCTGCTGCTGCTGTGGCGGCAGCCGCTCGGGCGCAGCAGACTGGACAGAGGAGAGACAGGCAAGGCGCTCGGCTGTACGTGCACCCCGGCAGCAGCAGAATAACGGCGCAAAACAGATGAAGTAGTTCTTTGGTTTGACAATTAAATCCCAGACAAACATGATCAGCAGCATTCAAGGACCTACTAGGCCAGCAGCCGATCAGCTGCAGCAACAAGTGCACGTTGAGACGGGCACAGCAGCAACTGCTGCAGCAGCAGCAGCAGCAGCTCCTGTTGCTGCGGAGACACTGCAGCAACCGCCGCTGTTGCGGCTGCTACCATCTGAAATATTCTCTCCTTATGCTGTCTCTACACTAAATCTGACATCCATTCAAACGCAAACCCTCAGAGACAGCTGATGCCTCTCTGGTCCCGGCAGCAGCAACAGCAGCAGCAGCAGCAACTGACGATACGACCGAGGTGCACGGGAGGCGCTGCAGCAGAGGAGACTTCAGCGTGTAGTTAATATACTGCGTTATAGAATTAATTTTGTTTAAATTGAAACAGAGTAATTAATAATTGAAGTCAATTTAAATGCAGGCTTCAACTGTACGCCTCTCAAATGCAGAAACAGACGCTAGAGCGGATGCTCAGCAACAACTGCAACAGAGAACAGCAGCAGCAGCAGCAGCGGTGGCAGCAGCAGCAGCCGCAGCGGGACTTTTGCGCGGGATCCTTCTTTGGATTTTCCCACGCAAATTCTCTTTAAATGATTAAGATTCATATCTATAAATTTGCACAATAGCATCTTTCAAGCAAGGAATGCTACCTCGAAGCCCCGTGCAATAGCAGCATGTGGGGTAGCCCCGGGTTGCCTGCGAGGCCCAAGTGTTTATGTTATCATGCTGGCTGCTGCTGCTCCTGCTGCTGCTGCTGACACCGCCGTTGATACTACTGGTGCTGCAGTGTCTTACGAGGATTGTGACGCAAAGTAGCGGAGTAGCAGCTGCTCTGGTTAGGCAACCTCAGCTATATTATGCACTGTAATATTACCTGCGTAGCCTGATCAGTCTGAAGCTGGGATACATACTTCTACTTATGTGCAGGCTGGCTACTGAAAGCCAAGTTTGTGTTTAACAACTGTCTGCAGTGCTAGTGCACTGAGCAAATCAGGTTTGGCTAAGCTACCGTGTGCGGTTGCCATACAGCATGAGCCGCGAAGGTGTGTTGCAACTCGTGGCAGGCTCCTCATCAGCCCTAGGCCCTTCTGCAGCTGTACCCAGGATGCCTTGAGACTGGAAGGAGAAATGAGTTGCTTTTTGGGAGCTCTTCACTTAGGTGTCTTAACTGGTTCGAAGCATACGGTCATCCTCTGCTAAGTTAGCGGAGTTCGGTTACACTTGGCATGCTAATCGAAGCCCGTGCGAGTATAGAACTATATTCCTACAACTGCGTGGTTTGATGCTCAGCACTGACCAGGGGCAAAGGCACTTTAAAAAGAAAAAGCCAATAAAAAGATGCTATCCCGAAGCCTTCGTCGTTTGTGGTGACCTCATGTACTGCGCTGATTAGAGTCGAAGGTACCATGCAAAAGAGGATTAAAAGGCCCTTAAACATTTTTTTCAGAATCGTTGTCGAAATATCAGCATTCTTCTGCGCTTGCAAAATGGTGAGCGGGAGGGCCGAATGCTGGATGCCTCATCGAATTGGAATGAGCGTGGTAGCTACGTCGCACCCAGCGGAAAATACTCTTACCGCTAAAATTTCTTACGAAGAATGGTCTCCCCCCCTTTTGTTGACCGTCCAGACATGAAGAATGCCCTGCTGAGGGAAAAGCGGGGCCAGGGAAGGCGTTCTTGGCTTCCCTTGAGTTGTGGCACCCTCTTCAGTCCAAGGTAAAGCACTACAATGGTGGGCATGTGCCAGCACGGGTAGCATTCTTCCACAGCATGCCTGAACAAAGAAACATAAAAGGCTTGTGAAAGCTTTCCTGTATTAGGTGCACAGTGAGCATATCCCATGCTTAGAAAGGGAACACGCAATGGCAAAGTTGGAAAAGCTTAAAGAAGGAAAGCTATCGATACAGCGCCATATTGAGAAGCAACAGGCAAGGTAAGGAAATGTTCAGTGGTAGCATTGGAGCTTCTTTATTGATGCTTCGTGGCAAGCCGTCCACTTGATAGAGGCAGTCGGAAGCCAGCTGGGACACGGAAAGGAAACTAAGTGGAAAAATGGTGGGGCCTGTCTGACTTACCTATCAAAGACACAAGCAAGCGCACTTCCACCTCTGTTGATCGGAAGCAGTAAACTGGGTTGGGAAGGACCCAAATATAGAGCATACAGAGATTGGGGATGTGCGCATACTCCATAGAGAAACGAAAGGAGCAGTAACAGATGAGAGCCGGCGAATTTGCGATTCAGAAAGCCACGGGGAAAGAGCCGAGTGGCGTATCTGCCTCTTTTAAAACTAACGAGGCAGCATAATTCGAAATTACAAGAGCACGGAAAAATACAAAGAACGGATCGTATCTCCAGCAGAACCAAAAATGCGGTCATCGAAAGGCACTGACCCCTACGCAGCGTATGCCTTGGTGATTGAGCGCGAAAGAGATGATAACCGCACCTGCAGGTCAGCTTCTTCTGAACTACGTGCATACCCAAGCAACAAACCGTCAAATTTTGTGGGGTCATAATTTTAGCAAAAGAGAGGGATAGCGCTATAGATAAAGTTTTTGCTTGCCTCACGAATAGTTCAAGGAAGATTTGGTTCTTGCTCAAATTTGTATTTGGCTAACGAGTCGCTCAGGGCGGATTTGATTCTGCTTTTTAAAGTAAGGCCGTATACAATGCTTTATGTGCAGCCATTACTTCCTATTATCCAAAATAATTGACGAAAAGGTAAAAAGTTAATCAGATATTGAAACTGCTCGTACCAATGGTCACGAGCTGCCGGCTATACTTGACACAGGCTGAAAAGTGGATATGATTTCTGCAGCTGGGGAGAGGCGGTGCAACCTACCTCTCTACAAATGGGCGAGGCCTCTGAGGCTACGCTTCGCCGATGGCAAACAGCATACGAGTATCGGCAAAGTTATAAAAGTGGATGCGATCTCAACTTATAAACGGGTCATATATATATACAGTAGTATGATACGGGACTTTTTACATGGGAATAACCCACTGAGACATTTCACTAGCATACCGTGCGTGACTCCGTGGAGGGTACTCAAGTGGCCTCCAGAAAGTACCGCTTGTAGCATATAAACAGTGAGAGTGTGCACTCGTCAGCGCTTCTAACAGCGGTTGGTTCACCTGTTGTGAAAAGAGTGGACTCAGCAGCCCAAGAAGAAAGGCACGAGGAGAGTCCGACCGCATTGCAGAGGCGCTGCCAGAGAGTTTGCAGAAATGCACGGGCTCCGTCTTGATGTACTTGCGAAGACCGCATTTCTGTGGAACTCGAGCCAGTTAACAACAGAGAAACAGCACAAGTGGCCACAGGTGAAGGAAGACGTGCGAGGTGCACGCGGTAACAATGGGCTCCCAGTGGGCAGACCACTTTCTGGCCACCCACTGCACCGAGTCGAACACACTCCCGGAGCAGCCCAAAGCATTATTCCGATCTGAAGGCGACTATCCTCATCTTGGCAAAGGCATAGAGCTGTAGACGGACGAAGGGTTCACAAGGGGGAATGTTGAGCTGTCAAGTAGCGCTGTTGGGAACGGCACTTCCGCAGGAAAAACGACGGGAGGTGGCTGTGTGCCGCGGCGGCAGCAGCAGCAGCAGCAGGCCCCTGCTGACCCTGCCTCAACCCAGTCAAGTGAAGCAAGCTTCCGATGCTTCGGAACGAAAAGCTACTTAAATGTTTCCGCAGTTCAACAATCTTTGCGTCATCTGAGTTTGTTGACGAGTTTTTGCGTATCCCAATACATCCCGACGGAGGGCACAAAACTGCTTTTCACACCTGCACACGCAAGCTCGAGTGCACCT